AATCAGTATTTAGCCTATCATAATGATCCATACATATAGATACTCAAAAATTGGCTTTGATTTATGTGCACACCTACCGTTTAGAAAATCTTCATTTTAATGCTTCTCCCAACGGTTTGGCGTTTATTCATATTCCGCTGATGTAGCGCCTAATGGCACCTATTTGTCATAAACAGTTGACATTATTACTTTTCTCAATTTTGAAGACAAATCAAATACAATCATTTAGTAATAAAATGGAAGCTCTACCAAACATATACAAAGTTATAAGCCCACTGGCTCGAGCTTCGAATCTAAATACTGGGCCAATTATTTTTTGGGCAGGGCTAGGGCTTTATCAAATAACCTCAACCCAAGTCTAATCCCATAATAATAAAAATATTATATATTATATAATTAATATATTATAAAATATCTGTCTAAATCAGACTTTGGGCTTGGGCCCAAGCTCTGGGCTTTATATAGAGTCATGCTCAGGTTTGGGCCTGATAATTTTCTCTTTATAAAGAGTCAATGCAATAGAATAATAATCCACGCACTCAATTTTATCTTACCGTAATAATTCAACATATAACATGATATTCTCTAATACGTGATACCATTCTAATCCAGGATGAAAACTTGTTTGATATTATATAGTAGTGAGAGAATTGAAATTAGCCCACAAAGTCTTTCCATAAATACCAAGTAAAATCCAACCAGCCCAATAAAGGATGCCAACCGGCTGGTTGGTAAGGTCGCTGGTTGCAACGGTGAATTGGGATCAAACCCCGTTGTGTAAAACCTTGATCCAAAAAAAAAAAAAAAATGCCATACCTCTCTCTGAATCGTAATCTATCTAACTACATGTAAATCCCCGGTTGCATACGTCTCTCTGAATCTAATCTGAAGTCCAAAGCATAATATGCTTTATTGGTATTAACATAAAAAGTTTTAAAAAATTGTTTTTTAAATTAAACAGATAATAATTACATAAATATAAAAACATATGGGGTTGAATAGAAATTTTGGTTAGATTTGGATTGATAAATTTAGGTTTTGACATCAATTTGATTCTAGGCCAATGTCTATGTTCAAGGTTGATTTATAATTGGCCCTTAACCTCACCCATTCAATCTAATTTATACTCATATTTTATTAGAGTGGGTCAAAAGAATTTCAAAGATATTTAATAGGAAATAAGGGATTTGATAGGGAAAAAGAGATATTACAAACATTTGACTATTGAAGATAAAAGGGGGATTGAGAATGAATTTATTACAAAAGAGTAATGATAGATTTTAATAGAGAAATAGAGTATTTAATATTTCACATGTGAAGAAAGAAAGAAAGAAAGAAGGGGATACTACATCTAAGGCCTGTGGTGGATTGGCATAATAAAATGTTAAATCAGATAGATGGGGACAATTCGGAATCATCCAATATGCAAGTTTGACTGATGGTGGATTTGTGTTGTATCGCAATTCACAAACAAATCATCAATCTTCACCATTGTCAGTCTTGACTGAACAATTTTTAGAATTCAATGGTATTCACAAAACTTATTTCCAGCATTCAATTATGTTGTATATTTAGGTAGAGGTTTCAACTATACCGGATTTGGCCTAATCTGATCTGGTCCAATATGAGTCTATTATATATCTGATTCGGTCTAATATGAATCCATTACAAATTGATTTTAATTTAGATTTGTTCCAATCTAATCCAATACCTGGTCCATTGGTACCTCTATTCTTCTATTAATGGACCAGATATTGGTTCAGTCTAACCCAATTCAATATAAATTCATCACAGTTGGACTAGGTCCAATCCAATCCAATAAATACTTGGGACCATTAAGACTGAACTGGTTCAATTCAATATGTCTTATTGGTATGTCTAATCCATCTAAATTGATTTTGATTTGGATGGATCCAATCCAAAGTCAGTCGATGACCCGTTCCAATTCCATTTATCACATGATGGATATCGCCTAGGGTGATCATGGGCCGGGATAGGCTTAGATCTTTATAAGAACTATTGCCCAGGCCCGGGCCTAAATCGACAAAAAATGAAAAATCCTCCAGAACCAGAAAGAAGTTAAGAAGTGGAGCTGCCCTACAGAGAGTTTGAGAATCTGGGCTTTGCTAAACTCTGCACGAATTCTACGAAGATGTGGAAGCACTGTGATAGCCGCTGCAACCGCAGAAGAAGAAATAAATTCTCCTTGCTCTTAGTAGTCGTCGTTATTCAAACCAGCGTGATTGACTAGATGAAGATCCAAGGGTATCAGCACCATGGTTAAGCCTAAATCGTTTTGAAAGCACCGAGTTCTCTTTGGAATGAAGAATATGAAGCATTGGTTAAGTCAATTTGTCTCTGCAGTGTAAAAGAGTTTGCCTCTGACTGGCCCTCTGCAAGAGTTTTGAAATTGGAGGGATGATAGAGAGCAGCATCATCTTTGTTTTGAAGAATTCACATTGGCTCTCCAGAGTGAATCCCAATGGTGAAGTGTGCGGATATAGATCATATTGGAACATGTTGAAAAAGTATTTTATTGTGAACAAATCCCATCTCTCAACCAGTGCGTCCCTCACATGTCTCATAGCACATCTCAACCGTGCATTGAACACATCTTACATGACAAGGAAAATGCGAGCCCGAATCTCCAGTTCACAAGAATTTTATCCACGTCTACTTATAACACACGACCTCCATGCATTGAAGACATCTCATAGCACATCCTAATGCACGCTGAAATGTGACGTGCGGAGTCAATCCGGCACAATGGGAAACGAATAAAGCAGATGATGGATTCACTGAAAAAGATTCGTCTTTCTCTAAATTGTTGGATTGAATCTATTTAAGGAAAATTATTTAAAGATACATCCGTGGTTTCAAAACCTACTTAAATATCCTTAGAATATGACAAATACTGACCCTCTATTAATTGTCCGTTACATTCCGTTTGCATGTGGCATCATGACTCATGAGACATTTTTTATTTTTCAAAAATCCACTTGCCCTTAGCCACCATTGAGAGATCAACACCCTATCTGCCATGTTGACTGAAGGGAGGATACTGCAACGGCAACCTCCCTGTTAACAGTTCTAGCATCTTCCTCTTCCACTTGGGATGCTAGAAATAATATATCAATGTTTGATTGAAGTGCAATTTTATTTGAATTAGTATAAAATTATAAATGCATAAGAGTGCAAATGAAAAAAATGCAAATTCTGGTTTAATTTTATTTTATTTCATTTGTACTGAAATCAAATAAAAGAAGATAAATTTTGAAATAAAAATAAATCATAATTTACACCAAAATTATTTATATTACCATGGTTTTGCATCAGTGCAAATATATTTGTAAATTTGCATTACAACCAAACACAGCCGGGAAAAACGAAAAAATAAGCAAATGAAATGATGGAAACAAAGCAGGGGCAAAACAGACCAAGATCCCTTTGGCTGGGTTTCTGACATATCAACATGACATTACTTTCTCTGACATCCCTTGGGCTGGGTTTCTGACAACCAAATTTGCATAGATGTTCATTCTTTGCTCTGGGATTTCAGGCTTAATAAATCCACTCTCCCCGTAAGACACACATCGGGCTTATTACAACTGTACAACATGCGCTACTCTATTGCTGTTTCTACTGATATACTTAAATGAGCAGATCTGAAAAGCTTCTGATTCTCGGACAATATCACTACACTACAACAGCCTGTGTACCTCAAACCTTTATTTGAAAGAATGCCAACTGCACAAAGACACTCGATGCAAACATGACGATAATGGAGGCGATCTAGAGATGTCCTTAGCAGCAGAAGCGGCCAAAAGTTGACCCTACTAGGTGCAAAGCACAGCTCCATACCCGGCCTTAATGAGCCAATATGGTTCTTGAGATTGAGGGCTGACTGATGGCTGCAGCAAAACTGGTTGGCTTCCTTATTTTCCTACGATAACCTATTGGCATTGGAAAGAACCTCGCAAGGATAAACACTTTTACTGTAGATAACTTGCTACTCCTCGCTATATAGAACCTGAGTAATCCATTGATTCAAGGATAAAAACAAACCATTTATGTTATCAGCATGCAGTTCCAACCCCAAATATATGAACCAAACCAAACTGATCTAGCGATTACACATTGGAGAAGATCAGAAGAGCATGCTCAACAGTTTCTTGCTCAGCCCCACAAATCTCACAACGTGATTAGAAATTACTCTTTTTTTTAAAAAAAAAAAAGAAATTGTTGTGGAGGGGGGATTACAATCCAACATATCCGCCCAATTCCATTCTTTCTGTTTTCTGGGCTTAGCTAACCGCTCTTCATCCAACCATGTTACACATTTGAGGGGATTTTGTGTGGGGACAGAGTAGGGTCTATTTGGGAGGGCATATCTATGATTGTTTTTTGACTTTCATAATTCAAGGCATGATAAAGCCAAACGTCTACATTTGGTAAAAATGTGGGAAGTTGGCACTTGGTGACTTGGAAGCAGCTTCCCAAACATTAACGTTAAGATCCACCTATCCAGAATGTTGAGCGGATACTAAGCTGCTTAGGTCTTCTCAAACGGGTCTTAAATCTGAAGAAAAGCAATTCCGCAGCATCAGGGGACCCCGGAGACCAGAGTTGTTGCTCGCATCACTATGTATTGCAAGCTACATAACCAATCACAATGGAACACACCAGTTTTCCATACATGGTACAGAAACCGGAGTGTTCTTTCGTGACTGCTTACATTTCCCACGATACACAGACATTGCAAGCAGCAGATACCAAGTGGCATCATAGAGTCAATCCCTTGGCTACCTGAACACATTTGCACCAGAGTCCAACAAAAGGAGAAAAAAAAATGAACAAAAAGTTCCTAAAACAAAAGAACCTCTAAAATAAGCACATGGATATTAGATACTAATCAATCCTAAATGAGTGCAGAGTGCAGATCCCAATTAAATATGCAAGAGATGTATACTGTATTATCGGCACCCCACCACCACCATGCACACCCAAAAAAAATAATCCTCTTATTCTTTGCTCTTTGGCAATTACATGATAGGATATTATTAACAATTATGGTCTATTTCCATATGAAAAACAAAACACTCAAAGCAATCACTCCAACCGCATTATGAAGTCACATGCAGTGGTGGACAAATAAAAAGAAACTCAATAACTAGCAAGACCATGTAATGAAACAAAACAATGATAATTCAACGCCATACCTGAAACTAATGCAAATGACTACCATCTATAGTTCTGTACAGTATACACTCAACCCGTTTATGGGTTAATACAACACTGGATGATGTACAAGGTCCTCAAACCTGATCATAAATAAGATGCTAATTCTTCAAGGCATGCACATATAACAGCGTATGACTGTATCTGGCCGAAAACCTGTTGCTAGCAGCATCAAACACTTAACATGAATGTACTTCTTGCTGAACCTCTGGTCCAAGTTCTTTGGAGCCACCATTCAAGAGAACTCTCTAGTCTGAGCTACAATTTTGCTGTATCTCTCAAAATGACAGCAATCCCTGCAATCCTGCGTTGGGAAGATGAATCCCCCTTCAATGAACTTGACCTACCACTGATGAAAGGTCCTCTAGCTTGATTTTTAGCTAGTAACTTCTGCTTCCTAGATCTCCCAACTAGGAACAACATCTGAGATTTCTGGTGGATCTGTAAGCCTGTTTGAGGGGATATGATTGTTGGGAATAGGTGTACATAAAGAACTATCTCAATGGTTGTGCACGGAAGAAAATTCTCCTCCACAAGATGGCAGTGTTTCCATTTGTAAGGAGAAGTTTGAATCTGTAAAGTGTCCAGAATGCTCATGTAAGTCACCATGCAATCCATAACCCTGAACCTTCAAGTGGCATGAGGTAACAACTTCATGGCGAGTTTCTGGAGGCAGTCCCTTCAAGAGATCTGCTATGGCCTGTTCATGTTTCCTCTGGAGTTCATCTAGTTCCTTCTTCTGCTCTACCAATAGATGCTCTAGTTTCTCCACAATGATTCTAACTTTTTTGGACTCATTGTCCATACAATTCAGCTTCAGTGGGAACGCATCATTGCCTCTGCTATTTTGATTACTGGCCAGCTCTGAATTGACAAGCAAGACAGAGTCTTTCTCTTTACCTATTGTCTCATCATATGAGGATTCATCTTGCTGTTTATAGGGCACAGATGAAGTACCGATTTCAGTGCAGCTTCCACCTTCTGGAATCAGAACTGCATGGTCTTCTGAGTGTTTGGGCAAAGCAACTCCATTTGGATCTTCGTTGCTTTCATGTTTATCAAGAAATTCTTCATTATCTTCAGGCAAACATTCAAGACTGATGTTCAAATCTACATGAGAAAACAAGTTTGATTCAAAAGTGGTAGATCGAGAGCTTCTGCTAAGTCCCTTGGGGGAGTCAGACCAGTACTTTCGGCCAGAAGGAAGTCGTTCAAGAACAAAGCCACATGAAGGATGACCTGGGTCCTTTGTCAATGATGATAGTTCAGCATTAGTTTCAGGGTCAGGGCTAACTAAAACTACAACTTCACTACCAGAATTATCTCCTACACCTTCTCTTGATGCCCATTCTGAAATATGGACCTGTACCTCTGAGTCGATCATTGCAGCAATGGTTGTAACATCTTGGTCTGTAAGGTCCAACTCCTCAACCATTTCACTAGCAACACTGATTGCTGTATCCACCTCAGTATCAAATGGAAAGTGAATGTTATGAACATGACCTGCTTATCCATGGAAATGTTGTCGTCAGAATGATAAAGATAGAGCTTGTTGCCTTGAGAAAGACATGTAAGTAAAATTAGGTAAGAAAACAAACAGGAAGGTGGACAACCAGTGGAATCTTCGATGCGTAATTTTATGAATATTGTGTTAATATCTTTTCTTTGACCTTCAACCATGAACTCTCGACTTCCTCCAGACTCCCCAGCATTTAGAGAATTTGTGTTCATATTGTCATAGCTACCATCTGCATTTGCCATGTCAATACATGGGTGAGAAAATAATAATTAAAGCCTTTTCAGATCTCTAAAACAAGAAATAAAATGGGAGACACTAAGGTCCTCAACATAGAAAGGAATTTTGGAACTCTTACCCGAGTGATTGGGGTTTGTTCGTATAAAACAACCTACTTTTTCATTCTCCCCATCTGACTGGAGAAAAGGATCCATTAACAGCTCTCTGGCGGGGAGCCTCTCAGAGACATCCGCAATACATTTTTCTATAAAGCTTCTGACTCCAGGATCCTTCACCTTTGCTAATGATGCAGGCTTGATTCCCTGAAGAGAAACCAGATTCAAGATGGAGTCAAGAAGTTTCTTCAACAACAAGGTTCATGGGCAGTAGCATCTGGCCACTAATTATTAAGAGCTTTTTGAGAATGCGGTAACCCAAACAAGTGGTCCAACATTAGATGTAAAGCATTTTTTACTAGACATTCTGGATTTTTATACATGTAAAGCATCAATGTTGGAGCTAGAGAAGAAAGTCTTTCACTAGACATTCTGGATTACCATCTGTATGATATCCAAGTGATGAACATGGTCTGGATTTGTCCTTCATAAATTGAAAATGTTTCTTCATATGCTTTTATAACAACAATAGTGCAGAGGACTTAATTACGGGACTTGATCTTTTTTTTGTCAGGTTGGAGTTCCATAACTTTATGAACATTCAAGGTTTCAAGGTATGAAAGTAACAGAGGCAACCGTGGATATGGACAGAAAGTCTCTTCAAGTGATTTAGTATGCAATGCGGATAATAGACTAAAAGAACTATTAATTGCATGACCCTCAAAAGGGTTAAAGATCAAGGTTGCCTTACTGATGTCACTTTCTTGTAAATCTGAGCTGCATTGGCACACTCAACATAGGGATACTCAAAGGTCACCAACTCCAGTAAGCACATGCCAAAGGCATAGATATCCACAAGCTCATTGTATTCTTCCTCATAAAGCTCTGGTGCCATGAACTCTGGAGTCCCTACAGTGTTAATTAAATGAGTATTATTCCCTGCTATTCCAAGAATAGACCTCTGTCATACTTCAATTCTAAAAACTGCTTGGTACTCACCAATGACACTATGAGCTGAGCGGGCCTTGCAAAGAATAGCAGCCAGTCCAAGGTCACCGATTTTCACCTCGCCTTGGTTGCCATTAACGAAAATATTGTCACACTTCAAGTCGCGATGGATGACCGGCGGGTCATGACTATGAAGATAGAGAAGGCCGTGCAAGATCTGCCTTGACCAATTCTTGAGTGCTCTCAAGTCGACATGCTTGTGTTTCTTCCGATACCTACCAAGATGATTCTAAGTTGAATGTTCTCCACAGAAGAAATAGAAAAGAAGAAGGAAAGGATCTGTAGAAGTAGAAAACCCACTGGCGTAATGTTCCCGAAGTGAAAATCTCAGTGATGAAGTTGATGTTCTCATTTTTTACGTCAACCCATGAGCTGTAGAACTTGATAATGTTCTTGTGCTTGAGAGTCTTGAGAAGGTGGACTTCAGAGTAGAGACGCTCTAAATCTTCAGAGTTCCGCAATAAGTCAACCACCCTAACTTGATTCCAAGCAACTTCAATCCCTTCCAATTCATCAAACGCTCTATATCTGAAAAGTCAATAAATCAAGGAAAAACAAAATAAGAAAACGTAGGTAGCATACTCGCCAAGTACTGATGCTTCCGAGCAAGTTAAGGGAAGAAATGTAAAATTGGAAAGAAGAAGAGGATACACTGTTTTGAAAGCGCCCTTTCCCAACACCTCTCGATACTGTGAAAAAAATAAAGGAAAAACATGAGACAGGCCCCCAAAACAGAATAAGAACAAACAAACAGCACAAGGAGCATTAATATTAGGAGTTATGTTAAGGCCTATAAAAGAATGAAACGATTGCAATTAATGAATAATTATTCACAGAGCAGAGAAAGATGAAAAGTTGACCAAATTACACGAACCAAGTGTCAACCAAGAACCAATTCAGAATTAAACAACCCAACAACAATACAAAGAAAATCAAAGCACTAACCCGGCCATATCTACCACTAGGATCGATCTCCACGAACTCTAAATCGGAGTCGTCAGGGTCCTGTTCTGACGACGAATCTCCACCCATCCTCGTATTCGAAAATTCAACGAAATGAAGTTGAATAAATAAACCCTAAGTTCTGTCAAATAAACAGGCCAAATAATAAACCCTAATTCGGTGCCACAAAACAGGAATTGAAGAAAACTAGAAAACCAGCCAAAAGCGCGAAAGCAAGTAAGATTTTTTTTCTTCCGAATATCGTGTAGGGGAAAGAACAGTAAAAACGAATTTTAGAGAATTCCAATTATTAGAAATGAAACAAAGTGATGAAGAGAAAGATAGGTAGATAGGAGGAAGAAGGACGGGTAGCTAGGTGGCCCTCAGATTGGTTTCAGAGAAGCGAATAAGCGTTTGAAAAAAACGGGAAGGTAAGGAACAGATGGGAAAGAAGGTGATACAGCGGGGAGAGAGAGAGAGCAGAGGCGCGGTGGGGTGGAACCAAGCGTGTGGAATAAGCGAAGCGTGCGAGTCTTCTCGAGAAACCGATGTGCCACGTGGCGGTTGACCACAAATCAAACGTTAAGACTGTGGAAGTGTGGAATCGGGATCGACTATCACCATGAGACTGTGATCTGTGACCCACCACCATATCTGGAGGATGTAATTACTAGTAGTGTCCGCACTTCCGAGTGATTGCAAAAAATAGGATCTCATCGAGGAGGATGGAGTGCATTATAAGCATACTGTTCCTTTATACGCTATCATGCTGTAACGTGTTTGGAACATCTTTTTTTAAACAGAATTTTATACAAGCTGGGCTATATATATATATATATTATTTAAATTATATATTTTAAAACATTATTTATAATTTATAATCTATATTTATTTTAAGTAAATTTATTTTTCAAAAAAAATTATTATCTAAAAAATTTTCAGGGATTCAGGTCTATGCGAGAGACCCATCCCTATTAGAGATCAGGGACGGAGAAGGGGATTAATTTCAGAATCGAGGGTGGAAGACCCATCCCTAAATACAGGGTCTCCTAATAGCCTTAGTTACAGCCGTGTAATAGACCTAATGGTAACATCTCCCTTGTTCGGCGAGATATTCATAAGTATAGCTACAATGGCTGTTGGGACTATAAACCGTTTCAGTAGGGCTATAATTTGGGCGGGCCCAGTCTGAATCCGAATTGGCTCAGCCCAGAATTTTATACAAGTTGGACTTGGATTTTCAGTCATCGGACTGGGTTTGGGTCCAAGAAATTGGTTTTTTTTTTTTTAATTTTTTGAGTTGGGCTTGGCCTAGCCCTTAGGCAGTTCGAACCTAGCCTGAGCCCAGTCCAACTATATACATTTATACATATGTGTATATATAAATATTACATACATATTTACATATATATACATACATATTTGTATATATAATATTGATATACATATTTCTTTACATATTTTACACACACACATATATATATATATATATCCAAACCTAGCCCCTTTAATGAAAGGATACTTCTTCGTGGGCAACTACACCATCCCCCTTGAACGAAAGGATAAAAAAACTGCTTCCATTTGATTCTCAATTATCTGTAGAACGAAATGCCTAATGCAGAAAAGAAAAGTCCCAACTTTAGGCTAATTTACTGCCACTTAGACACGATTAGTGAATAAGTACAGTAGCAAAAATCCCAGATTCTTTCAAACTCAATTCCATGATATGGGGAAAAAGAGGAAGTTATATGCTGAAACTCAATTCCCCTACGTCGTCAGTTTCAATAGTTAAAGCCCTAAAACCTCACCATGACCAAATCAACATAAATGCCCTGAAAAATATCACAAACTCAATGCTCGTAGGGGCATTTTAACTGAAAAAAGAAGATAAATCTTTAAAATAAGAAATGTCAAATGCAACCTAAAGCAATTCCACTTAAGTAGATATAGAACCCATAAGAGAACTGAAAAATAAAGAAAAAAAAATAGATGCAAATTTTTACTTTAAAAAAAGAAGCAAAACCAACAAAAAGAGAAAATAGAAAAGAAGATGTAAAAAATTGGCACACAAAAGAGAGAAAACAACAGACCTGACTCACTGTTTTGCAACTATGTTCTTGAGTAAGAAGATGATGAACAGTGTTTTATTTTGAAGAGTGATTTGCCATTTTCAAAGGTCTTAAGTTGCACATGATATCATGTGATACATAATTCTTAACAAAAGATACAAAATTAGCACATTTTGAAAGTTCGGATATTGAATTATCGCATTTTAAAGTTCGGGAGCCAAAGTGGCACTAGGCCCAAAGTATAAGGTACTAATTGAGCCATACCTAATAACGTGCCATACCTAAAAACGTGCTCAACAGCCCTTGAAGTTTAAAACAGGTATTAGCCCAATTACTCTTTTCTCCGATAATAATGTACCATACCTAGAAGCATTCTCAACAGTAGGGGTGAGCAAAAAAAAACTGGAAAGCCGAACCAACTGAAACCGAATCGAAAAATTGGTTAATCGAACTGGTCGGTTCGGTTTTGGTTCAATATTCTTAAAATACCAAAAATTTCGGTTCGGTTTCAGTTAACCTTATAAAAAACCGGCAATTAGCCGAATCGATCGGTATATATACAATAATATATTATATATTATATTTTTATTTCTATTTTTTAAAATCAAATAAACCTAGGCACGCACATATGGCATGTCCGCCTTTTTCAGTTTTCCCCTTTCCCAAGTCCCAACAGGCTGGTGCACACTCGCCGAGGCTGAGTGAATAAACTTGGGCACACACTCGCCTTTTCAGTTTTTCCCTTCTTCGAAAATCAAAACCTAAACCAGTAAACCTAATAGCCTATTAGGTTTCCCCTTTCTCACTCTCCTTAGTCTTGTCTCTTCATCTTCCCTAATCCCTAGTTTTTCCTCCAGTTCCGGTTGTCACCAGTTTTTCCTTGTGTCTCTTTCTCTCTCTAAGTCTCTGTTGCTTGTCATCTTCATCTCCGCTATGCCAACCATCTAGCAGACAAGCACGCAGCAACAGTTCAACATCAGTTGCCACCTCACCGGCAAGCACCAAGCCAACTTAGCCAGCCCTAGCTACAACAACCAAGTAACCAACCAAGACGCCGGCCACCGCCTCGACTCCGCTAGGACCGCCACCTCCTAGGCTATGTCTGACTGTCTTTGTCTCTCTCATCTCTCATATTCACGGCTCCACCACCTCTCAGGCTTTCACTTCAAGCGACAACAACCACCAACCAATCCAGCATCGGCAAATCATCGGCCACCACTTTGCCCTCGCCAGCTCGCCCCTCTACCATGCTTGTTCAGATATTTTTTTCTTAATTTTGAGTGCAAAAAAAATTGAAAAACCAAACCTTGGTTAACCAATGGACCAGTTAACCGGTTACATTGATTCGATTTCGGTTCATATTTAAAAAAAATGATCAAGTCAAATTGGTTAAAAAAACCCATAGTTCGATTAATCGAACCATGAGCACCCCTACTCAACAGCCTTGTTGGCCGCTCCAACGGGAAAAATGTTTTTAGTGAAACAGGAACTAAAAGCGGAATGCTAAAAAAGGGTCAAAATTGTTTATTTCAGCATTTTCAGCAACAGCATAAGAAGGGAGAATGCGCAAGAATTGTAAATAGTGGTGGTACGACGGTAATATTATTGCGGTAATGCAGTATTTGGTCATGACAAATCTTCGAACCAATGGGAGGGGATCACCTGTTCACAAAAACTTTGTACACATCTACTAACACGGGCATCAACCCACACAATCTCTTCATAAATTTAATACGGAAGATATTCCTGATGTATGGTTCGATGTGAATAAATATATGCAGTGTAAGATTTTTGTGAGCAGGAGGGGGAAGGTTGTTTGGTTTAAAAGAAAAGGTAGGGAAAGATAGGAAAACATGTATAAAATTTGTAAAGGTTTTCCTACCTTTTCCTACTTTTTTCCTTCAATACAGCCAATATGAAAAGATTATATTTGATTGTTTGTATTTATAAGTCTATAGATTTTCTAGAGAGCTAAGGTTTTAATGTCCCCTATTCTTAAACTTTATTTTTTATCTTTAATAAAACTAGTAAATGTGGGCGTGCTTTGCACGTTGAAATTTTAAATTATAATGATAATTATTATAATCACTATTATTATTATTATTATTATTATTATTATTATTATTATTATTGTTATTATTATTATTATTGTTATTATTATTATTGTTGTTGTTGTTGTTGTTGTTGTTGTTTAATTTTGGATTCTATTTCCATCATAAATAAAAATAATTTTTATTTAATATGGTGATATATAACATTAAAAATGTCCCCAAATGCTTTCGACAAAATTGTATACTTCTCATTTTTTGTGTTCTAACTTTTTTAAATATTTATTATTCATCATTAATAAAAATATTTGTTACATTTCATACTTAATTTTATTTAGTATAATGAATATATAATATTAGAGATGAAAAAGGGAATTTGTTAGCTATGTATTCTGGTCCAATTGGGGTGGGAGATTCCTTGAGGGCTGATATTCTAAGAGCTCTTGAAGTGATATAAAGGGTTAAGGAAATGAATATTAAGAAGTTGATCATAGAATGTGATTCTGAAATTGTAGTGAATTGGCTAAAAGAGGATAGTTCTATGCTCTTGAAATACAGCAATGAAAAGAGGAAGTTCAAGTGGCTCACCAAGGACATTGAAATTCATTGTACATGGATAAAGAGAAATGCAAATGCATTGGTAGATGGTCTAGCCAAGCAAGGGATGAACATAAATTCTATCTTTTGGGCTGTTTTGTAACTCTGATTCTTTAGCTCCTTACCTTGTAACTCTGATTTTCTTAATTATTAATAAAATTCATTGTTATTGATCAATATATATATATATATATATATATATATATATAATATTAGAGATATGCTCAATTCATTTTTTTGTATTTTTATATATTATTTATTTTTATTTTTATTATTTGATTATGGAATTATTGGTTAACCCATTTGATACAAATGGTTGAATTGCTTACCACCACCACTAGGAGGGAAGAAAAAGGTTTTATTTTCAATATATTTATTTTTATATTATTAAAATCACTGTTGTGGATTTAATTAATAGAATTTAATGATGAGAAAAATATATCTTAAATATATACCTTAAATATGAGACTTAATGAGAGAGAATGGAAAAATAATTTTATTTCCAATTGGTTTTAAATTTTATATTATATTTTCATCATTAATTAAAGTATTGTTTGTTTATCATACTTATTCTTGTCTAATATGATGAATATATGATATTAAAGATGTCCCCAAAATTTTCTTTAATTTTTATTTTTTTTTTGCATTTTATCAAGTTTTAATTTTTTTATTTAATTGTGGCAACAATGCAACATGGGTTGGCCTATTTGACCCACAATTGTTTAATTTCTTACCACCACATAAAAATACTACTTTTCCAAGTC